ATCCTCTAGGTTATGGTATGTCAGAGCTGAGCATGGCGTCACATTTACCTGACGTTGTGGAAGGTCAACCAATAGGAAGTGTTGGAAAACTCGCTTCAAATCTAGAAATGAAGGTAATTGCAGTCTTTACCTTCACTGCTGTCAAAGCATTCATAAACAATGAGTAGATCTTAAGCGAATTTAGATCATTGATCCAGAAAATCGTTCTGAAAAGGCCCGAGGAGAAATTGGAGAGATATGCGTTCGTGGTCCTACCGTAATGCTCGGATACTTTGGAAAACCGGAAGCCACCCAAGAGTGCATTATAGATGGTTTTATGCACACTGGTGAGCAATTTGTAACTCCCCCAACTTTGATGGAGCGTAATTGTGTCAGCTGAACGGTATCTGAAATTTGCCCTCAAAGCTGGTCGCGAATTTCTTCACCATCAGATCTTATTTGACAATTCCCTGGTATAATGAGGTGTTGTTCTACTTTCTATACACTGAGTTTCATTTCACATATGAAGAAATGAAAAATGAGGTTTGGTATATAATAATTTGTGTCTTTGATTCTATAATCGCCTTTTGCGTGGAAGCTCTTCATATCAAACCTAAACTTTTTGCCTTTTTTCCTTTTTTATCTGACCACTTGCTTGTCATCTACTTGATGATAGCGCTGCAAATGGTCAGATAAGATCACCTTCGTTTCTTCCTATTTTTGATGATTGGTGACCCAAAAAACCCCATAAAACTGATGCTGCCTTGCACTAAGCGCAAACATCTTCATAGGTGTCATCACTGTTCTTTAGTCTTCAAATGATATTTTTCTGTTTTCAAAACCTTTCAATCTACGCAAAGAGGAGTCTTTGCAATCTCAATTTAAATGTAAAAAAGAGAAAATAAATGAAAAGGTCAAATGCATAGGAATCATCCTAGAAATTTGAAGCTTCTTTCTTCCCTTTTTCTTTTTTTTTTGCTATATATGAATTGAGTTTTGAACATTCATTTTTTCAAGGTGCAGGTTGTTTATACCTAAATCCATATTTTAAGGT